AATCATACTCAGTTGTTCACATATTACAAAGAATTGGAAACATAACTACAAGAGTTTCTAACTTGGTCTGAGGACATCTTAGATCTTTTAATGATGAGATCCTGACTAGACACCTGCAATCCTGTGGAGGTCTGTTCCAGGTCTGTAATAGGACACTGAACCTTCTAAATGTCACTTAATATCAGTATTGAGAAAGTTTTATTTGGCTGTTCTGAAGAGTATGTGGAGTTAAATTTAATTCGAAAGACAAGGATGATTACTTTTTTTTTTTTACACTTTCTTTTCAACTTCAGTTGCATGGTTTTGCTCCTGTAAATCTCTATGCTTAGATCCTCAAGTATGGATTTCTTTTATTACAAGTTTGTGGGTGTCCACTGCTGCAAACATGAACTAGTGAAAAATGCCATCAAGCTTTTCAGTACCACACTTCTGCTCATTTAGAATCCGGATACTTTTAAGAGATTCTCCTTACTTTTGCCCACCTTCAGGTTTATTTAATTTTCATAGAAATGGTCCCTTTAATGACAACACCTGTTATTCCAATTATATAATCATCTAATTGAAGAACTAACAAAGTGCAGCGAAACAAACATACAAGGTTTCCTCAAAAATAGAGGGATTTGTGTAAAAACTTTGAGGCCTTTGATACTGAAAAAGGACACAAATAAGAAGATGCTGGTACACAAGGAAGAAAGAAAATGGAGCTAATGCTTTTGAAGATGCTTGCTAAGTTCTGTAGGGAAACCTCTAAACCTGAGGGTGGGAGGAAGCATATGTGCCACGTAGCATGCAGCAGAGCAAGCACAAAAAAATGGAGGATTCTGTGTTGCCTGCTGTTTGTAGACTTGAAGTTCTTTTTGCCTACAGCTGTGTGTTTCTCTCTGCTTTGGTTTGTTCTTTAAATCAAACTCCAACCTGTCCCTTATACTACTATGAAGGCTAGAGTTAGGGTGATAAATTCATAGCACTAGAAGCAATCACTTATAAAATACGACAGGAACTGTGCTATCAACTCCTTACAAATGTAACAGGAATTAAAGACTTCTAACTTATGACAAATAGCATTCACTTCATAACAAGTTGTGCATTTGCATCAAAAGAAGATCCTAAGATTTTTGTTCCATCACGTGGTGAAAATGCCTTGAATTTTAGTGACACATTTCTGTATATATTTTAAAATGTGATTGTATGTATTCTTGTCACTCAGCACTTGAGATCTAAATACACTACTGCATGTATTAGTGTTCTGCTAATTTTTGTACTTTTTTACCTACAGGGTTTGCCTAACTACATGCCTTGGGACTGGGGTCTTTTGAAATCCTTCTTATCCTCCTGAGCTCTGCCAATACCTGTGTTTGCCTTCTCCTTGATTGCTGGTGCTTTCCAGGCCTGCTTATTTGGCTGTCAAGAGAATAAAAGCTGCAGTGGATCATACAGCTCTCCTTAATGTCACCTCCCTCCTCCTTCACAGTTCTTAATGAGCTTACAAAATGCTTGAGGAGGTTAGACCAAAAGGCCATCTAGCTCAGTGTTCTGGCTGACTGGAGATAGTAGCTAGAGAGCATGCGGTCTATTTACCTCATAGTCTCTCCAGCATCCAGAATTACTGCATTAAGAATGGTAAACTGCATACTTGCCTCACCTTTAAAGTTTCTTGTGGAACTGTGGCCACGAATTTTCTGACCCTATTCTGAACCTACTGAATATTGTCTACCTCCTCAACCTCCTGAAAAAGTAAAAAGGACGTATTTCCTTTTAAATAAGCTGCAGGTTTGTTCTAGTACTGTAGGATTTGGTGAATGTTTAGTATTTAGCTTATCTAACGTGTTTATAAACTCGTAAGCCACAATCATACTCACTCCTCAGGTTTTTCTTTCTTTTCCAGTTGAAAAGTTCCAGTGTTTTCAGTGTCCCTTCATGAGGGGGAATTCTACCTCCCTGACCAATTCCCAGTGCCTTTTTTCTGTACCTTGAACTGCTCTGTGTCTTTGAGATGTGTAGATCAGAACTATATGCAGCAGTCACTCAATAGGAATCCATGGAGATTTTGCGTAGTTGTAAAGTGTTGTCCTCTGCCTTGTTACCCAAACTCTCTACTAAACATCTTCTACTAAATATTTAGTACCATCTTGTACACGGTACTAAACATCTTCTCTTTGGCTGTCAGTGCACACTGACAATTCTGCTAAAATCTGTTCAATTATGACTCTACTGTCTCTTTGCTGAGTTTTAGCTGAACAAGGCATTATTTATCTTCTCTAGATGCACTGATGTTTACCTCCCAAGTTTTTATCAATTCATCAAGTTTTGTAAAGTTTAGTGGACTTTCCTCCCTATCAGCACAGCACCATGAGCTTCTCTGTAAGGCAGGTTGCACTGCACATGCACTTTCTACACGTCACTAAGGAAGATGTATTAAAGTGGTCACAGCACTAGTCTTCAGGAAAGTTCTATTTTCGTCTTTCCTGTCATAAAGAGTGACTATTAAGCCCTATTCTTCTCTTTCTAACTTTTAATTGGTTTTCAAGTCATGAAAAGGACACCTCTCCCAAATCCAGATTAGGTTCTTTAATAAATCCTTGCCAAAGGATTTTTATCCTTGTGCTTTCCTGGCACTATTTTAGCCTTCTACAAGCTTTGTAAACTTAAATGCTCCATTATACAAGTCCTCCATCTTTTTCAGATGACTGTGTTTATCCTTGCTCTCTTTATTGCAGACTTGACCATCCCATCAGGACTGGAAATTGCTCATTGGTCTGTAGCTCAGTCTTCCCTCTAGACTCTCCTTTTTATAGATGACAGCTGTGTTGGCAATCTGTCAGTCCTCTGATACAGAGGCAATCTGTAATGATAGGTGAAGGCACCTTGCTCAGCAGTTCTGTGACCTCACATCTGATTTCCTTCAGAGGTCTTTGATAAACGCCATTTGGTCCTGAGATCTTACCAGCATCTAACTTACCTATTTAAAACAATTACATAGAATGTGCTAGACCACTCTGACCTAAGTCTTCTGGCCCAGCTGCTACAGAGAATTTGGCTTCTCTGTCACATTTTTTATCAGTGGGTGCCCCTTCTTAAATCTTTTCACCAACTCTTTCACTAGTTCCCTGCCTGGTCCCTTGCTTTTGGTTTATTTTAAGAAGTCTGTGCCACCATGCAACCACCATGAGCATCATCTTCAGATAATTTTTTTTTAAACCTGTTATTTTACTGTTGACCTGTGTGCAGTGTTGTGGTTTTTATTTCAGATTTCACTTTGAGAGTCCTGTCTTGCAACAGCATTTACCCTACTGTATTGTGTTTCCTGTTATAGAGTAGGCATCCATGAATACCTCTTATGCTAGTTCCCATGCACTACTCAAGCTGCTGTTTTTGATTTGGTTATCATTTGAGATCTACTAGTTGTTCCAGGAGGCAGTCATATGTCATTGGAACACTTTACCTCATCACAAGATGAAATACTTAAATCACATTAGGATGAAGTCTTGATATCTCTCATTACTACTGCATGTCTGAAACTTGCAGTTTCTCTTTCTGACTGCTGTTGTCATCTTGATTAGAGGTCAGCAGCAGAGTTCTAATTATTTTTTAAAATACAGACTTCCAGCCATGGAACCTATTGCTTCTTTTTTACCTATAGGAGGTCCACGCTGTTGCACTCTATGTAATCTTCCCCATATGGCCCCACTCTGTCACCTGCATATCCTGCTGTGCCATCCTTAACTCAGTAGTCTGGTAACAGTGACCCATGGATTTTTAGTTTTTTTTCCCCACCAGAGCTTCGAATGCCTGTTATAATAGGGCTGTTGTCCAATATCACACAACTTAATTCTTCCATACATTTCTCAGGTTTCTAGTACTGACTTAAACCTCTTGCAAGTTCTGTCCTAGCTTCCCCACATTGGCACATGCCAGTCAACTGGCATCATGGGCAGTCTGATCTGCCTTCCTGGTTAACAGCCAAAGTACCTCTGTAAAAGCTGCAATCCCCTTGACAGTCCACATCAGTCTGTGAACCAGGTGTTTTGAGTTTGTCAGTTTTTACCCAGCCTCTATTTTAAATACTGCTCTACAACCTTCCAGTGTTTCCACACCAGTGGTCTTGCTCTGCATTTGTGTAACATATAAGCTGTCCCTCCTGTTTTCTCTTCTCCTAAAATGTTTCCTAGCTCTTAAAATACCAGTATTTCTTTGGAGAAGGAACAGATAAAAACATTAGATGAAGTGAGTTTTGTCAAGTCTAGTCAATCTTATCCTCATATTTAGAGGTATTCTTATGAACAAAGAAATTCCAACTGCTGCTGACAGTGAACTGGTACTTGGAAAAGTATCACTTGGAAAAATACCAGTAGGGAAGAAAAGAAGAAGCAGGACTGAGGTAGAGTATCACATGATGATTCTTGTTTCCTGAGTCACTGAGAATACACTATGCAGGTGTATGCAAAAGGTTTATGAGCAATTCACATAATATGAGATGTGAACAGCTACAAAAATGGCATTTTTAAATGGCATTCTAAATTCCTACATAAGCTTTTCACAAAGCTGTGTGGACACAGAAAACTGGCAATTACGGTAACTCCTGTTCCAATATGCTCATCTGTACTGCTTCATAAGCATTATTCAGGATAATACCTTCCTCCTGCTGCTACTTCAAAAAATAAGCATGTTGTAGAGAGAATTGAACTGGCAACGTATGTACTGCATATATTGCTGAGTCAGAAAAAGAAGAAGTTGAGGATGAAAATATGTTAATGGCTTAGCATATCAGAGGTGATCAGAGACTCTATATACATACTCTGTTACAAAGCAAAGTGAGGGTAAGGTGCACGTAGTCATGAAAATCATTATAGTTTCCATCATGGTATTTCTCTTAATAGTAGCTGAAAAACTGAGGCGATTTTGTTTACCTCTAAAACACATCTCAATATCTTATAACAAACTTCGGGTGAAAAATCTTGGTGATAGCCTTTGGATTCAATAAGGAAGACTAAAACAGAAGTCCATCATAATGAAATTTATTTAAAATCTTGAGCACAGCATATTCATAACATTTTAGCACTTTCCAGTGAGATGTTTATATTTCTATAAATTATGCATTCATTGCATAAAACTGCATTCATTTATCTATCAGCATACTATATAAATTATCACAAAAACAGATGAACCAACAAAAGATTCTTGAATACATGTAACAATCGTGGGCTGATAATAGCAGTTATAGCTTATCTTCATGGTAAGCAGCTCTAAATGAATCCCGCTTGAATTCATTTAATTAAGAAGCTGAAAAAAAAGAAAACATGTTTAAATGTTGCAAAATGCATATAAAACATAGCACAATTATTTGAAAATAATAAACAAGGACTTCAAAACATTAATTTGAAAAGTCATTTGACATTCGTGTAATCTCTTAAGATTTTATATCCCATTTAGTAATTACTAAGCAAGCAGGAAAGTTATCAAATAAAACATGAGTGATTGAAACTTAAATTTGCCTATTTAAAAAATTAGAAAGGAAAACACTCCTCAAACATCTGTTCTCTTTAATCAAGTTCTGCATTTGCTCTTACTACTTAAAGTGAGAGAACTCTCCCAGGAAATGTTTCAGGTTTATCTAAAACCTTCTTCCTTTACTGTTGAAGTGGCACCAGAGTGGGAAGGCTACACAGCGCTTGGGAAGGCTTTGTACGGTTGCAGACTCTTCTTAGTATTTTAATACATGAAGAAGTTTCAGATGACATTGCTGGTTTTTTTTCCCCTGGAACAAAACTTTGTATTTCTAAAATGCAGATATGTATTGTGTGTCCTACCTTTCTAAGTATTTTACTGAGTACAAACTGGGAGATGGGAACACATTGAGAAAGATTTGTCCATGACTATAGAATAGCTGTACAAACACAAAAGCAATGAACTACTGAACGGAAGTATTGCCTCTAGCTTCACTGGGAAGGTCTTTCAACTCCTTATAGATATGCAATGTGCTCTAGCATACACATGTAGTAATTTCATCAGTTTTCCATTCATGGCATAATTAATTAGTGGTTACAAAACAAATACAAGTGCCATAAGCCTAAAAGACTGTATCAGTATAAAGATGTTCACTGCTGCAAAAAGCTGACAAGCACATTAGGCAAGACATACAAACCAAGGCAAAACAGATGGCAACTGGCTGGGTGCTGGAGGGTGAAAGGATTAATGAAAGGGAAAAGCCAGCAAGAACAACTGCATGAAGAGATGAATTGTAGGGTGCTGAGTGGAGAAGTAAGAGAATGCTGAGCACATGCGATAACCCAGGTTTAGGATAGATGTGTAAGGTCATGTACAGGAAAGGAAATGAGAAGAGAGAAGACTACTGGTAGGGAAAGAGTTTGGAGGGAAGAGTGGGGAGGACTGAAGATTACAATAATCAGGAAAGTAGAACTGATAGGCTTAAGAGGGGTAAGAGACAACGATATAACTGTAAGGAAATACAAATACAGCAGCGTCATTTTGGATCAACATGCTACTATATACTGTTCCTTACTTTCTGTCTACAAGGAAACTGCATCTTTAGCAGCTCAGACACAATACAGAATGCGGATAAGCGAAACACTGAAAGTTACAGAACAAGCTTAAGAGGCTAGATACACAAAGAAAGAAAAAGCCTAAGGCAGAAAGATGAAACACATCACGTTCCACCTGAATATGAGGAAAAACTTCCGCATTTCGAGGATGACAGAGCAATGGAATAGGCTGTCCAGAGATGTTGTGGAGTCTCCTTCTCTAAAGAAACCTCTCTGGATTTGATCTTGCTCAACCTGCTATAGGTGAACCTGCTTTAGCAGAGTGGTTGATCTCCAGGGGTCCCTTCCAACCTCAACCATTCTGTTACTCTGTGATTCTGTGGAAACTACAAAAAGCCAGAACACTGTGAAAAATCATAGAGTAGCAACAAAGATAGAGACAGAGTGTGGGCAGTTTCTGAAAAATCTAGAATAACAAATTGGACAACATGTGTTGGTACAGACCTGCAAAAAGAAAAAAGAAAATGTCTCCTTATCCAAAGGACTGGGAAGTAGAACACGAAAAGCTGGCCAAACTGTGCCATTCCAGACATTAATTAAATGGAAAGGGGAAGAAATAGGTAGGAGTAAATGGCAACACTGTAAGACTTACAGGGAAGACATAAAAGCAAGAAGAGGCATTTTTAATGGTGGTAATCACAGAAGAAAGGTCCTATGAGAAGAGCATCCGAACTGTTTGCCACAGGAAGAAGCACATCCTTCCTAAGAGATCTGTTACAGGTCCAGACACCTGGAATTCAGATCTCCCATTCTTTAAAGAATTAGAAACCAGCACGGAAGTCTACACTTCACATAGAGAAGAACGTGGAGGTTTGTGGATAGTCATGAATTCAGTGTGCTGTTTGATGGTTTAGATGAACAGAGAAAACCAAGGTTGGCTTTCATATCAATGGGCAGCTTCTTTGATGAACTGTTTAGCTACATTAAGAGTGGAAGTACTGAAAATGCTAAATGTAAGATGCTTTGTTTTGATTACTGTGTATTATTGTTTTCCTGTCTTTTAAAATAATCCCAATTTCTGCCATTTTGAAGAAATAACCAATTCTGCTGGGCATGACAGACCAGAATGGGAAACCTGGTGTTTATCAGAAGTAGATTTACCAGTTCATAAATTTAAGGTGAATCAACTGAATTTGCATGAAATCAACATGGAACATCTAAAAAGCTGTTAGTAGTGTGCTCATGTTTATTAATAAATTTAATTTTTAGATGTCTGCAAAGAATGTTTGTTCTGTGTAGTAATATTTTATCAGTATATTTCCAAGAAACAACTATTCTATTTTATTCACTTGCATTTAATTTCAATGGCTCCATATTACACAACTGAACTGAAACTAATTTAATTACAATGAGGATAGACAGGTCTTATGCAGTGTATATAGTGAATGTGAGGAATGTTCATGTTCTGGGGCACCTTGCAATTTGTCTGTTTTTGTTGCATTGACTGTCCTCTAAACAGTGAATGAATATCTCATGTCTCACTTAATATTTATGGGTTTTTTATGAAAATAAGGCAACTTTTATTTATCATGCTTCCTTGCAGCTTAGTTCATTTTCTCTGCCAGTCAATACAGAATATGTATTTTCCATTCCATCAATACATAGTTTAGAAGGCTGATTATTTTCTATGATTTAACCAAAAAAATTTCCACATTATTCTAGTAAATAATACCGCAATACAATGGCCATGAAGGATAACCTAGATAACAAAATGCTCAACTGGAGGCACTAAAAACTTCTTTCAAAAGCTACTTAATGTAAGTTAGTTAATGAAAATTTATGCAAACTTTGAATTTTCAGGTGTTCATTTCATTTAATATGAGGTTAAAACAATAAATGATAACATGTTGACTTGACAGAACAATTTAAAGCATCAACAATAATGAAACTGCTAAAAGTTTCATTCAGAAAACAAAGCAGGGCAGAAGACAACACAGGGCAGTTAATTAGTTGTAGCCAATGCTAAAAAAAAATGATCAAGAAACTGTTTTTAACATCAGTAAGGCGTGGACAAAACTTTTGTCTGTCCTTTTGAAGAAACCAGTGTTACAAAGGTTTACATGCCTAACATTCCCAGTAATACAATACTGTCCTACTGTATGGGTATCTTCTATTTTGTTCTTACCATCCTCTCTCATTCTTTTTCATGTTCTATGTGCTTTTTGGGCTGAAACTGCCTAAAGTGAGGTTTCCAGAGATTTCTCCAAGCTCTTTCCTGACTAGCAAAGCTAACTTAGAGTTCATGCTTTTGATTCATAGTGAAGAATAGTCTCTCTGTTATTCCCATGTTTATTAGTTGACAGATGAAATTCTGTGCTGATATAATGAAATTTTATTGCTCAGTCACTGAGTATCTTTAATCACTGAGTATATTTAATATATCATCCATTCACTCTAAATACTGGGGTGAGAAGACTTCCAAAAAACTTTCTCTCAGATATATCAACACACTTGTCTTATCCAGAAAGAATTAGGGAAAAGGGAAAAGGTTCAACAGCATAAAATAAAATTATTGCATAATCTTTCAACAGCTAATGATAGCAATTAAAGTGAGAGTTTTAGCAAAATGAAAAGTTTCATCTAGTTCTCATAAAAAAAGTGAATTAGTGCAGGTATGAAAAGCCCTGCCATTGCAAAAATGGCTCTAGCAGAGAGTTTTGTGTTTGCTCAGTGAGTAGTTTTCATGATGACCTCCTGTGCTGTTTTCAGCTAGGATAATTTCCTTCACAGTGGCTAGTGTGGAACTATGTTTTGGATTTGTGCTGAACACAGGGTTGGCAATATAGAGATGTTTTTGTTATTGCTGAGCAGTGTTTACACAGCACCAACGCCCCTTCTGCTTTCCACACTGCCATGCTGGTGAGGAGGTTGGGGGGGTGCATGGGAGGTTGGGAGGAGATACAGCCGGGACAGGTGACCCAAACTAACCAAACGGATATTCCACACCATATGACATCATGCTCAGAGGGGAAGGAGGAGGAATGGGGAGACATTTGGAGTGATAGCATTTGTCTTCCCAAGTCACCGTTACTTGGATGGGGTCCTGCTCTCCTGGGGATGGCTGAACACCTGCCTGCCCTTGGGAAGCAGTGTTTTGTTTTGCTTGTGTGTGCGGCTTTTGCTTTCCTTATTAAACTGTCTTTCTGCCAACCCATGAGTGTTCTGGCCTTTGCCATTCCAATTCTCTCCCCGGTCCTGCTGGTGGGGGAGTGAGTGAACAGTTGTGTGTTACGTGGCTGTTGGCTGGGGTTAAACCATGAAACCTCCATTTTGTGTCACCTTTCCCATTCCAATGCTTTACTGTATAAAGGCATTTTACCAGCATATTAATTAAACAATTTTCCCCCCAATCCTAGCCTTCAAGAAGAAAATTCTTTGGAAGAAAGAATCAAATATGAATTGGAAAATATCTGAAGGGGATCAAAAAAATGTAAACAAAATACTACTATCCCCTCCTACATACATGCTCTCTAAAGAGGACCTTATAGATCTGTGCTCATATCTAGCACTCCCCAGACACTTTTCTGTTTATCACAGAAATTAACAATGACAATGGCATTACAGGGTCAAAGAAACAACAGAATGCCCAGTACTTTTATTCATGCACATTAGATGAAGAAATAGCAGTCTTTCTCCAGTTTTTGCTCTATGTTTATCCAACTCTGTTTTGATTTATCTTCACTACATGGAGGTCACTGCAGAAAAGAGGATGCACAGCAGGTTGTGTTACAGTTTCACTTTTTATTGATGCATGATGCTTCACAGAGGACTGACTTGGTTATTCAGCGCCAGAGAACAGAAACAATTTAGTACATTTGACTTTTTTTTTTTTTTTAAGTCAGACAGTAAAGTTGATGTTTGAGGTCATGCATATAGCATTAAAACAATTTCAGTTTTCCTTAACTGTTGCTTTAGACATGACAACATAAACTTCCCTTTTTCCTAACAGATTATTAGTATGCATTGCTGTTAGTATTGTTAAAGGCAACACTTTACTAGCCTGAGGACAATTTATCATATAAAGACTGATCATTCCAAGGTGAAATCTACAACCAGTGAAAGTAAAAGGACAGATGTATTTCACATCTTAAGATATATCTACACTGGGATCAACTGATGGGACATGGAACTTTTTGGAAGATCTTAAGGAATGTAGAGAAAAAGATTAATGCATTTTAGCATATATGACTGAAGTTAAAATGCAGGATACTAAATTAAAAGGTCCTCTTCAGTGTTTTGTGCATTCATTTCATTAAAATTCACAAGACCTATGCACAAAAATCAAATGGACTTCTCTAAAAAACACTATGAAATTGTGATGAAGATGACATAGTTGAGACAACTGAAGTGTCAAAGAATCAATAGGATATTTATTTCAAATAATGCAACAGAAAATTGGGTCAAAGCTACTCAAGAGACCAAAAGAAACATGAAAGATTTAACACTGGAAAGGACCAGATAAATAAATTACACATTTGGGAAACTATCAAATGAAATTTGATAATAGCAGAGCAAAAGGATCAGCTCTAGTGATGGTTTCCAATAATTCTACAGAGTGAGGTTTTAAGATTGAATGATTAATTTATTTCCATGAAAACATGAAGAATCTAGGACAGATCAAGTAAGCCCAAAAGATCTCTTTTACTTGTGCAGAAGTAACATGATAAAAAAAAAGCCTCGCATAACACTTAGCCACCTATTAAATGTTTCTCATGTATTTATGCATACGCAGTGTTCATTTTTTTAAACAAATTTACTTGATGGGTGTTAATGATTTATAAGTTGTGATATTGAGTCTACTTATCTCCTTAAGACAGAATTTGGTTTATAGATCTAATAATTCCTTCATAGTGACAACATGATGTGGCACTGCCTCATTTTAACAGGATTGTGATGAATCATTCTTTTCAGCACTGTCTTGGATTTCTTTTATTTCTTTCTTAACCAGCTTTAACATACTAACAGGTGCACTTCTTTTTGACATGCACTGCACATCAAACTAAATTTCTCGAAGTTAAACTTTTAATAGAATTCAGAATTCCTCTTCCCCCACCCCCAATTCTTGATGTCCTTTATTCTTAGCTTGGATACTATCAGAGAAGCACAAAATCTGCATAGGGCTCCAACTTCTGCTAGATACACTGAAGAAAAGATGTCTGGTATTTCACTAAATACAAGATTTATTGTGGGGGGAATAAAATTATATTAAAAAAATCCACTCAACCAAATATTTACAGCAAACAGAATAGCAAGAAAAGAAGGAAAAATCATACAGTACTTAGAATTAGATTTGTAAAGCTTGTAATACATGATACTACAAGATATGTAGTAGACCTGAGCAATTAAGTCTGCAATAACATCAATGGTATCATGTTGGCATGCAAACCCACAGAGCACACTAATGTTCACAAGTTACTGTTCAACCCCAGACATCCTACGTATCATACAGCAGCCAGAAAAACCCTACTGCAAATATTCACAGAAGCCATGGAAGGGCTGGAAATTGGCACAGACATATAAGCATGTTCTTAATAGGTGATATGAATATTCTTAAGAAACTAGTGAAATGAAAATGAAACTAGTACAGCAGCCAGGTTCTATTTCGTAGCTGTTAAGCTGCATAGCAGGGAACACACCAGCACCACCAACTGCCTTTTCCATTTAGTAAACTTGTTATGAGAAGAGGGAAAGGAGCTGATACCATGGGTTGCCATTCCTTGCAGTGCTTCTCAAATGAGCTTTGAGCTGCAAATTAAGCTCATCATTCCTGCATTTTTAAGTTTAAGATTTAAGTAGTTAATGGAAAGAATATCTCACACTTAGGAAAACTGGATCCTGTCTTTCACTCCAAGTTAGTTGAGCTAGAAGGTGATCTCTAGAGGTGATGCTGAGAGGCCATACTGATTATCCCAGATGGCAAACTACTAAATTCATACTGATGAAATTTTGCAGTATGATACTACTGGGCACTTTACAGACCTCTTTCCTTAGCAGAAATTACTAAAAAGTAGGAGCACATCTTCTGCACACATTGCAAGGGGAAGAATTTCCTTGTCTTCAGTGTGATGTTATTAAATGCTAAAACTAATCTGAAGCAACTTAATGTCAATTAATCAGCATAAAGTGATTAACCTCAGTAATCAAGAAAATGGTTCTAAAGCCTAACAGAAAAAAACAATAGAACAATTGTAATGTATTAGCTCAAATGTTAGATCTAAGTTGGCTTTGCAAGGCTGAATCCTTATTAGTGGAACATAACACAGAACATAAAGCTGGCTGTTTCACTACTCACAAGGTGTAATCATAGAAATCTACTTTTCTGTTTGTCAGACAAATTACAACTCTAAACGACAGGTGTACATATACTTTAGAAAAACTATAACCCTTTCTCTCCTCTGTGGTGGGCCTGACAAAAAAAGAGGGTATTTTTAGTGAAAAGCCATAGCATAGCACTGCACACTGCTTTGGTATTTTTGTACCTCATCTTATGTACATCTTAGTTATAAAGATACACAAATAAATATCTAATAAAGCCTTAGAAAAGAAAGTATGTTTTCTTTTGCATTTTTCGTTGGGCACTGCATGGGTTACACATCTGTGCTCAAACCCTTTTAACTGGTATGCATTAGCAGTCATGTTTAACAACATTAGCTTTTTAGCCCTTTTTGGTTTGCTTGACTTAATCACCATTTTTCCTGCTTCTTCCACCTTCCATTGACTTCAGTGGTAAGGATTAAAGATTGTTAACCTGAAAGCTATTTATAAACTTATACAAAGCTATTACAATCTATAAATTCAGAATTTAATGACAGATTACCTGTATGGGTAGCCATGGTATTTGGAGCGAAATATTGACAATAGGAAGCTGAAGAAAAACACCACGAGACCAAGGCCTACCAGACATATTACTGGAAATAAAATAACTTTGTTTATTAGCACATAAAACATTTAAAACTGGAATCTTTACAAAGAATATTATTTATGTCAATTATTTATAGAGAATTTTGACACAGTTAAATACAAAAATGTTACTGCCTTGAATACTGATGTCCACTATCTTCTGACAGGATTTAAAACACATATGGAAATAATGTTTATGGTTATTAAGAAAAAATAACTTGTCAGGGTAAATGTACTTTCAAGAAAAAAAGAGCAGAAATTTGCGAACTAAATATATGTGGATGCAAACACCTTACTGCTGATAGAGGATTTAATAACCCTGTAAATTATACATATCAACCAATGTCACTTCAGGTATTTACTTTTCTTTTTGGAAAAAAAATGACATTTAGAAAAATATCCCTTTACTGATGAAATCATGTTCTCTCTAGTCTATGGCTGAAATAACAGACAAGACAGCTAGTAACTACTTTATCTAGTTATTGGTGGCTAAAAATTTCACTGTTTTAAGTTCCAAGGCTGGTAGCCAAATCACTTTTTACTCTTTACTCAATAGCAATATAAATCTTCAGGTTTTGAAACTAAATAACAATGATGCAGACCTTCCGATAGGATTCTTTGAGCCTTTTCAGACAAAGAATTAAGTAACAAGGTAAATGCTTAAATTAATAAATAAAATTTGGAAAATCTGTTGGCACCCTGTGGAATAATAGCATAAAACCTTTTTTGATCGTGATAGCTTGCTCTGTTGCATGCAAATAAACATTTTTAAAAAGGGAAAATGTTACAAGCTGATGCATGTAACTCAGATGCAGCTGCTCTACATTAGACGTAGCGAGCTACTCTGATTTTAAAAACTCCTCTTCTTATACTACTCCTACTTTAGCCAAACCTTTGCTATTTAATTGCAATATTCATGCTTCAAAAGTGTGCTGCCTTTGAGCAAAGGATGAGCAAACATGAATCCAAGGAAACCGACAATGACGCATTTTTTCATTAAAACTGACCATGTGGAAACTGACACGTGTCAACTGGAATATAAAATTTCAAGTTATTTTGAGAAAACTAGCCATGTACAAACCTAATAAACACACTTCATTATAAAGAAATCACCACTCACAAATATGATTTCAAAGCACGGATGAATAAATTGAAAGCATGAACAGTGCAAGCCAGATACACAGAAAGCATTCACATATGGGGCACAAAGAGCAAAGTCTGAATTTGTACTGCAGTCCCCTTTTATTTCACTGTGTTCATGTCCACAGACCCAGATCTAAGATTGTATTTCAACTATACTCATGTCATTGTCTCCTCTAACATCAGTATTAAAGCTAGATACTGTAACAGATATTCAGAATGAAATGATTCATCTACAGCTAATTGAAAGAGATTCTCAAATCACTACTCATCAGAGGTCTGTAGCAAACATTCAACCAGTTATGAAGCATTCTAGAATGCTTTTATAGAAAATAGTTGGCCAGTCTTATCTGGAATACTGTGTATTGCAGAGAAGTAGCTAAAGAACTGATCTCAAAAGAAAGGGGAGGCAGTGTAGCAAATCTGGTATCTTCCAAGTATGAGGAAGTTTGATTCTGGATAAAATATTTTCATTTGTGTGTTTATGTAATTCACTGACAAAAAAATCTTGCAAATAATTCGAATGACAACAACATTCAGAAAAACATAAAAATTGCACTTCAGACAAAAAATCTTTAGACATTACAGATTAGGATACTATATCTACTGCTGGGTTTTCATCTTCCTCTCGAGACATGATACTGGCAAGAGTATCAAGTAAAAGAATATTCAAACTCCTTTGGATGTTGTCATCTTAAATGCCTAAACTAATTTTAAAAACAATGTTTTGAAACTCTTATTCTTTAAGTCACTCACTTTCAATGTAATTCAAGAGCCAAAAAGCATTTATGCAATTTTAAGTAGTAAAGATACTACTGTGTCAATCCGTACCTTGGCTGAGTGTGCTCAGAACATTTTTTTACTGACTTCATTTGAATGTAGTTTTATCAACAGAATTTTTATGCTCTCCTCTTTTCCACCCCAAAAAAGTAAACACTGGTTTAAGGTAAAGACCTTCTGAGAACCTAATCAGATATTCACTTGTAATTTCTCAATATCTTCTAATTGTCCAAACATTGCCTTAGCTATTCAGTACAACTTACTTCTCCTTTTTCCAACATCCCCTTTGGAGGTAGCAGCTTCATTGAGGAGTACCATTCCCATAGTGATAGCAGCATCTGTATTGCCATTGTCAAGGAAAGCAGCAGGTGTGTGGGTAGCTGAGAAAGCTACAAAGGTACATCTACAAACTAAAACATTTAAGTTCATAAAATGAAAGGAAGTATTTACATATAAAATCCACATATTGCAATCTGTACTGCACCAATATGCTCACCTGTGGCAAAAATCTGTAGTAAAATTTTTCTTTGTGCATTCTAGATTAAAAAAAGGAAAGAAGGTTCAAAAAGCTTTAAAGGATAGTTGTCAAGTAGGACACACAAATTTTGGACAGCTATGGAAATAGTTATTCACCAATATTTTATAATATTCTTTATATTTGCAGTAAAGGATTTTTAAAAAATAAAAACTATAAGATCCTTCAATGTAATTGCACACAATTCATTGGTTATTTGACACAAACTGAAGCAGTTGGACTGCTTTATCTTCTTCGGTATTTAGATAAGACATTAGCTTCCTCTTTAGTGTCATATTGCTTAATAGTTTAGCAGAGAAACATCTCAGAGGCAAGTCCTCAGTCACTTTCAATGTTTTGTTGTCTCATTATAACTGTTACTAATGTAAGCAAGTACATAACAATAAAACAATTTAACTAATCTAGCAAGATCTTAAGCCATTCACTTTATTGTTTATTTGAAACTATATAAACAAAAAAGGAAGGTTACTACTGTGCATAACATCTGTTTTGAGGTAGGGAAAGCCCGAATGCCATCCTGAAGCAGGAGTGAACCATGGGTGCTATTTCAGAATCACAATTTCAGGAAATACAAACTTCACCAGTTAACAGATTCAAATAAGGTTGAAGTTTTAAGCATTACCCCAGGGCTAGGAAGCAGGATGACTATCAATGTTCATGTTAATATTTTCCATTTTAGAAATGTTCAAAATTATACAAAAATGCTTAGACATCTGGAATTCCATTATGCAATTTTAATTAAGTTAAGCCTGAGCAAAAGGATTTAGAACTGTCAATGCTAACACAATCACACTTCATCAGAGATGAGCAGCCTGATTTAGGTTTGAGACTTCCAAATTTCATATACATAGAATAAGAAGAGACAAATGAAAAATACAAGATTTAAAAAAGCAAATATCGATGGTGAAAGACAATAGACAACATCAAAAAATATTATTTTTAACACCACTTCTCTGATACAGTCATCTACCTACAGTCCTAAATCAAACTCTAGTTAAAAACAGACTAGTAGCTCAAATTACCTTCCTCACACACGCCCAATGTATAAGGCCTAGGGTCACTCATGAATAAATGCTTATGTTCAAGTCTTCTGGAGGCTTGTTACTGGACTTGACAAATTTTAAAAAAAAATTGCAAAATATTGTGAAAAAACCCCAACCATGGAATCCATGATACTATGCAAACTGGGTGGGAAGGCAAAAATTACTTTCTAAAAATTCTGCCTGTCAAGATTCAGATTCATGAGTGTAAGAGACCGGGAATCTCCTATGCTACTGCTATGCTTCAAGTAGGGAAAAGAATTGGAAAGAACATCATGAGAATCACTCAGTTCTCTATTTTCAAATGTTAGAAAAGCATTAATTGAGGCAATTGCCACAAGACAAAAAATTTCCCCCATGTATTTCTATTTCCCCCCTATTAAGAAAAGTCCCTAAGTTAGCATTATCTGATTACTTTATTTTGCCAATACCTTGCTTGGATTTATAGTAGTGTTTTAGTCCTGACTTTAACAGTCATGGGGAAAAAATAAACAATCCCAAGATGTGAGGGTAAGTCACCAAATCCTCTTGGGGAAGTGTTACTTTTCGCAAAGGTTTTGAACTGCTCTGTAAATGGAATTTTTCTGCGTGATTATCTCATGTAATATCAATATGTAACGTGGTCCTTTGCTATTTCCTTTACCTGGTTGCTTCTGAGAAACCAACCAGCCAACCACGCACTAGAAAGCTATCTGGTAGAAACCATTTTGTAACTTAGTTCTTAATTTTTTTTACCAGATCATGAGTTTTAATTCACTTTTCTTACCACCAGGAATAACAGTCTCACAAAAGTAACTTTTTTGCTCTGCAACTGAGAATTCTAGCTCTGTAACCACTTGAATTATGCTGGCTTTTTTCCCCTCTGTTTTGGAGCCTCACATGATTACCCCTAAAGCTTCCCTCACATTGTCACTATTTTTGCTTCAGTTGTTGCTTTCTAACTTTAGTCATCATTGTTGAGCTTTCAGCCTCATTGGCTGCCTTTTACCTTCAATAATATCAGCTTTGTAGCTTCACACTGTAACACTGAGCATGGTACTTGCTGCAGCTTTCTGATGTGGAAGCAAAAATTCAACAGAGTTGTGATTTCAATACAAGTAGCTTTTTATCACAGAATACACAGCTTGTTTCTATTTTTAACTCCTGTTTCTAACATTCTCCATTATGCCTTTACACTATTTTGATATTCTACAAAAGAAAACAACAGTCCTAGTTCTTAAAATAATCTTTTACAGTACTGTAATTCTCTAGCAGAGCAGAATGTAAAATTTTAGCAAGTTGTTACTTCGAGAGTTTTTCATGTGCCAAAAATGAGAAGGCATCAAAAGATGTACTTATTTTCCAGTTCCTCTTTATCTGCCTCACTATGCATTATGAAACTATTTTGAAAACATGAGGGGAATGTGGCACTCAGATAAACCATGGCAAGCAAATGTTTTAAATTTAGATGTTCATGTTTTCTGATAAATTTATTCCTCTGTAGAATTTTTTTTCTGTGTAAATCCTGTTACGTACCTTCTCAAATTATTACACTTTTACATATGAAACTTCTGTTGTTCCTTTTCCCAGATGATACATGCTTTTCATAAAAACTGAAAACATATTATTTAGATAGTGCTATTGAAAAGGTTTTGAATTTTGATACATGAAGAACAACAGTTTTAAAGTAGGATGAAAAAGACAATGATCATCAAAATTTGTAAGATCATACAGAAAATGATCAGTAGTAACAGAGCATAATATTTAGCCCTTGTAAAAATCAAGATGATTTTTCAGATGTATGAAAAGACCCATACCACCAAATCCAAAATAAAACCCAAAAATTGTATCAATAAACTCCAAAATTATAGATACCCTACTAAATGAAACTGATGGCTAGTAAATTCGGGATACTTTTTATTAGCATACTGTAATAGAAAATTTAATCACAGAACGCCCAAAAGGAAGAAAACCTGATCATTCCTACTTTTATTAATGTGATACATAATTTATAGAAAGAGCTCAGAAAGTGCATTGCCATATCTGACTTGGCTGCGTTGATCCTCATGGAGTGAGATGATCATTTTAAGGAACTTGGAGGGACAACCTAAATGTTCCAAAATCTGCCACAGACCTTTTCTGCTCACAGTATCGAAAGCCTTGGTGAGATCAACAAAGGTTACATAGAGACCTTTGTTCTATTCTCTACACTTCTCTTGCAGTTGTCTGAGAACAAATACCATGTCTGTAGTGCTCCTGTTGGCTTTGAAACCACATTGGCTTTCAGGTACGATTCCTTCTGCTATAGTGGGTATTAGTCTGTTCAAGAGTATTCTTGCCAGGATTTTGCCAGCAATGGAGAGCAGTCTTTCTGCTGTGCCTTTTGCAACCCGACATGTCTATCTCGTATTGGCCTTTATAGCCACCAATGCGCTTGCAACAAATGTGGGTAGAGCCCTTCCCAAATCTTAGTTCGCAAAGCCCAGCCATGATGATGACGTAATTTATACTTTTACTTCACACATTTAGTCCTAATTAGTAGTAAGCGAGGAAAGAAAGAGAAAAGAGGTTGACTAACACTTGGTTACTTTTGTGAAAAAAGTTTGGTAGTCTCATTCACAGTCTACTGTATTTCTGCCAAGAGTACAAAATCTGGCATTAGCATTACACACATAAAGAAATGACTGCCTTTTTAGTTGCAGATCATGCAGTTGCTTAATAACACATGAGCAAGAAAATCTAGAAAACATCCACTCGAGCCTGTGCTCAGTTTACTGTTACCTAAAATGGGGAGAGAGATTATCATGCACGCTTTTTTATCTTTTTTTGTTTGTTTGTTTTGTTTTGGTGTAGTTTTTTGGTTGGTCGTTTTTTGGTTTTTTGAGGGTTTTGTTTGTTTAGCCTGTTGGTTTTTTTTTTTGTGCTTGGGTATGATGATTAGAACATGAGAAATTCTTTCCTGGCCCCTTAGAAGGTGGGGTATACTTTGCTGATACTTAAACCACTACAATACCTGATATAATTTAAAAAATACTGATCACATTACAGGTTCTTTATCTCAACCATTTCCATTTGAATTTAATTTCTACTTACATTTGAAAAATTCAAGCATAACATGCACTCTAGTAATTCTATTTAGGAAATATTCTCCAGCTACATGCTGTTCTCAAAAAAAAGGTATTAGCCTCTTTTCACAGCAAGAGTTTTTATTTTTTTTTATAATGGATTGAATGATAAAATCATAGAATGGTTTGGGTTTGGGAAAGGAGATCTTGAAGATCATCTACTTCCAATCCCTCTGCCATGGGCAGGGACTCCTTCAACTAGACCAGGTTGCTCAGAGCCCCATCCAACCTGGCATTGAACACCTACAGGGATGGTGTATCCACAACTTCCATGGGCAACCTGTTACAATGCCTCACCATCCTCACAGTAAAGAACTTTTTCCTAATCTAAACATACTTTCTTTCAACTTGAACCCATTGCCCCTTATCCTGTCACTACATGCCCTTGTAAATAGTCTTGCACCACCTTGCCTGTAAGTTCCTTTCAGGTACTAGAAGGTCACAAATAGGTCACCCCGAAGCCACCTGTTTTCCAAGCTTACCCAATCCTCTCTCTTGGACTCGCTCCAACAGGTCAATGTCCTTCCTGTGTTGGGAACCCAAGAGCTGGATGCAGCACTCCGGGTGAGGTCTCACCAGAGAGGAGTAGAGGGGCTCCTTTTGATGCAGCTCAGGACACGATTGGCTTTCTGGGCTACAAGTGCACATTGCTGGCTCATTGTCCAGCTTTGCATCCACCAGCATCCCCAAGTCCTTCTCAGCTGGGCTGCTCTCAATCCATTCATCCCTCAGCCTGTGTTGGTACTGAGGGTTGTCCTGACCCAGGTGCAGCACCTTGCACTTGGCCTTGTTAGACCTCATGAGATTTTCATGGGTCCACTTTTGGAACCTGTCCAGGTCCCTCTGGATGGCATCCTGTCCTTCAGGTGTGGCAACTGCACCACTCACCTTGGTGTCATCTGCAAATTTGCTGAGGGTGCACTCGATTGCTCTATGTATTAAGATACTAATGAATTAATATAGAAACTAATGAATACAAAAAGTATAAACACGTCTCATTGCTTCTTTCAAGACAGTTTTGCTTCAGTTCAGGAAACAATAAGCAATGACTAATACTCCACTTATACTATTCAATTCTCAAATCATAACCATCCCAGGGGATGATATGACAAGCCTTGAGGGTTGAGAAAGGAGCATGTTTAAGACACCAATTGCTAAATGTCTCATCTCAGTGAAGAAGGATGATTCCTAACTCAGAAGTTGAGAGAGTGGACAATAGTCTGAAAATCAACTATCTGAATTTGAATTTATGGATGAATTGTACACAATCAAGATGTATTTCAGTATTTTTTAACGGCCTGAAATCCAGTTGTACTGATAGTTAAAATAACCCTGAACGTTCTTTCTCTTAAAACTTTCTGGCTTCAGTTATGTCAAATGGCTTTTCAAGAATTTTAGGAAGCATTATATGAGTCTTGGCACTGGAGTTCCCCTAAACTCCTTGAAATATGCATCTCACAACAGTGATATAGCTGGAAGTTTGCATTCCAACCATTGAAATGCCAATCAAACTACATCACTTTCTTTTTTGATGCTTTTTCATTACCACAAGTGGTAATGAAGTTCACCCCTATTACCAGTCCTAGGTGGGTACACTGTCTGTATACATACACCTGGTACGTAATCAGTAACATTGCATAGATTTTACTAAATTTAATTTTGCTTTATAAAATAATTTAAACTGAGTATCTGACTGCTTCACAAGTCCTTCTTAACCATGTCCTAATTATGCAGCTAGAGCCTGGAAAAACAGCAGATTTTTATACAGAAATCATCTAGTAAATGGGATAGAATCACTGTCTAAAAACAAGTATAGAAATGCAATGGAAATTCACATTTTTTCATGAGAGGTATTAAAAATTCACTTTATAGAGAAATACAACATTTTATTTCAACATCTAGCAAAAACTGACAACCTTACTACTACAAAGTAAAAAGAAGCAACCAAATGAAACGTGTACATTACCAGCACAGTAATGCCTTGTTTTAAAATTCAATGCATCTTTTAAACTTTAAGGGATAAATTGAATGTACTGCTGTTTATCATTTTGGCATACTTTTTTCTAATTCCCACATTTTCTAGCAACATTTTCTGAATAAGCAAATAATGAAGAAGCAATGGAGCAGCTAATAATTATTACCAACATTGAAAGTATACAGAAATATTAATTTTCATGCACATTTGTCAATATTTCATGGCTAAGATTTCATTTTGAAATTTGTGTGTGACCAAAAACTCATCTCAACAGTATTGAGCCACGAAATGAAACCTTAGAGAATTCCTTTTGGAAGTGGCAATGAACAACAACACTGAAAGGATTCTTTCAGACAGCTGCATTAATGTAGCTAGCCAGCTTCTCAGTTTAAAGACAATCTCTGCTGACAAAAAGATAACACTTTAATGCCTGAGTCAGAGAAACAAAATATGTCATCAACAAAAGTTTTGTTTATTTTTAACTTTCTCTGGTTTTTGCATTTACTTTTCCCATTCTCAAGCAGTCAACTGGATTGTTTTAGGTAATAGATTTGTTTGAATTATGGCAGTTCAGGAAAAGCAAAAAAAATAAGGAAAACATAAATTGTGGCTCTACAAAGGAAAACATAAAGATGATACTAATAAAACACATACTCTGTCTATTACACAAGAAATTTTTCATATGAAACATAACAGCTGTCACTGTGTACTTTTAAAAAAATGTTGCATTTAAATTAATAATCATTGAGTTCTGACTCGGCAGTTTCCAGGTAAAGCTAGCTCTTTAACTCTCTCTCCCCAAGAAAAGGAAGACAAATTTAAAAATAATGAACATCATAAATGTGCTTCCAAAACTTTAACAAATACAATGTGACTTTGACACAATGTTAATTAGAGTATGATTTAAAATCTGGATAAGTGACAGAATCACAGAATGGTTGAAAGTGGAAGGGACCTCTTGAAATCATCTAATCCAACCCTTCTGCTCAAGCAACCTGCTAGAGCAGGTTGTCCTGAACTGTGTATATTCAGGTTTTGCATATCTTTACAGATAGAAACTCTGCAGCCACTCTGGGCAGCCTGTTTCAGTGTTTGACCACCCCCACAGTAAGAAGAATCTTCTTGTCTTCAGACTGAATTTCTTGTTTTTCAGTTTTAGCCCACTGCCTCTTGTCTTTCAAAGGGCACTTCTAAAAAAGTCTGTCTCCTTCCTCTTTATTTCTTCCCATCAGGTATGTGTACACATTGATGAGATCCCCTTGAGAGTCTTCTCCAAGTCAAACAGTCTCACCTCCCTCAGCTGTTTCTCATAGGAGAGCCCCCTAATCATCTTTGTGGCTCTTTGCTGGACTCGCTCAGCTAAGTCTGCAACTTTCCTGGACTGGGGGACCCAGAACTGGAAACAGTATTCCAAGTTCAATTGAAAATACTACATTTACTCTGCAAAATATGATCATAACTTTGAAACTAAATTAATAATGGCTATTTATGAAGCATATAAAGTTTCACAGGTAGTAAATGGATGCTAGGCAAATGAATACAACGAAGGAGAAAGATGTAATGATGGTGTTCTCTTTGGATAGTAGATGCCAAAACTGAAGGTAGATAGGGAAGTTAGAGTAAGGGCAGGTTCTAAGGCAACATAATTTCAGGGAGAGAACAAGAGAGTAGCCACGATCATAGAACTGAGATCTAGTTATTACTATAAATTGGGAAATACTATTTTCTTTTGTTTGCTCCCCTCAGATGAAGGTATTTGTAATGGAAACTAGACTTTAAAAATGGTTAATGGTGACTAGAGTTTTTACTCAATGAATAAAGCTGATGAGAAGCAGGGTTTAAAAAATCCAGAACATATAAGCTTTTCTTACAGTTTATTAAGACATATTCACAAAATACAATTCATTTGACTTTTTCTGACCCAGTAAGAATGAAAGAGTAAAAGGTAAAAGTAGGTCTCAAGAGTCTTTCTGTGAGAAGATGATGTCAGAACAAATGTGATTGAGTTATTTATTTCAAGAAGTAGTAGAAAACTGTCTAGATTAGGTGGGGGAAAAAAAATCCAAGGACTACTGGAGAACAAATCATCTTTGTGCATGATTGGTAAATTTCTGTACGCTTTTCTTGTCAGTAAGAAGAAATAAAATTATTTTTTCAATGAATTTTTAACTATTATAACACAGAGTAAAAAAAGAAGAAAATTAGTTTCTGCTACGAAAAGGTAACACTGAAGGCATAAGACTAACAAAGGATATAACAAGGTATACATTAGTGAAAGGAATGCCAGGTTTACTTGGCAGTAAATAGCAACAACATTGAATATTTACTTCAACATATAGCAAGTAAGGCAAAATACAATACCTGCTCAAATGTTCAGCTATTCTCTGCCAGAGCAATTTTATTTAACATCACACTGTGCCTCATCTTGCTTTTTTTATATTCATCATCACTTTGAAGGATACTCAGCAGAAGAATAATATGTGATTCTGCAACAAACTGAGCCTGACTGCTTCCATGTATGTAACTCTGTAAAATAAAAATGAAAAACAATCCTCTTTAAAACAAAGAAATCCACTGAAAATGGCACAACTGGATATGTGAGAATAAAACTAAAACCCATTTTGCAGAAAAATGCAGGCAGCAACAGCTAGAAATTAACAGCACAGTTTATGTATATAGGTTTAGTAAAAAGGAGTGTTAAAAATAGTATATTTAGCAAAGCATGTATATACAGTGAATGCAATGTTTCAAACATTACATTATACTGGACTCTTTTTCACACTGCTGCTACTGTGGAATAAAGGACATACATTTATTTGCTTAGGGGATACAATTTTTGAGAAGGCAGGTGATGAAATCAAGGACATGCATCAGCGTGGCTTTTACAAAAGTGAAAACTGAACCCTGACTCTAAAAAAATAATTCAACTTTAGTCTTTCTCAGATTGAGATATATATACCAAGTATATTTCATTTTTCTGCAATAAGGTACAACTGTGTCCTTCAGAGATCCTAATTCATAAACTGTCTTGTTTAAATGGATATGTTGTGACTGCAATAACAGAAGTTAATACTAAGCCTAACACAGTCTACTTCCCCCTTACCCCAAATAATTATTGTTAATGGGCTCCCTTTGTACATTTATTTTTAAGAACTTACAGCACATTAGTGAAAAGCTGTTAGAATTTATTGTTAACTAGTCATGATAGCAAAAAAGAAGCAAAAATTTGAAGGAATGCAAACATGCACAAAATGAGGGAGATTCTGTGTCTTTCTCTACTATATCAATTACAAATATTGAGTACAGTTTGTCACACTATTCTATGTGAAATTAAATATGTCCATGTTCTCAAAGTATTATTTACACATATTCTTCTTAGGCACAGATACAATTTTCACCCCAACTAAATAGCAAGAAAAATGCTCACATCTATAAAGGTAAAGAAATGGGAAACTTTTTGCCCTCCTTATGAATGCAGGGTTTTGTTAATTTATTTTTTCACTCATACATGTTGCTTTAATTAATTTTATTCTGAATAATTCTGGTGGAATACCATCCTTGTCATGATTCAGAACAATTCAGATTTTAAATACTCTAATGCTTTGAAATACAAAAGAATGCCTTTTTCCACAGTAGTTAAGCTCTGATTGATGTGGTGTCAGATCATGTATTTCATAAGAAATTATAGAAGTTTTTACTCAGTAGATGGTTATCTGTTGCTTTCAGAATTCAATCATATTATGCTCATTTAAATAACCAATCAAAGCTAAACCAGGCAAGACCTTCGTGTATCTAAAGATTCCATCTCTCAGAGGTATCTTTTTTCTTTAACAAGATAAAAATCACTGATCTCAGAAGAATATCTCATTGCAGTATAATATGACAGTGAGCCAAATGGTATTTCTTGGGTTTTTTTGCATGACTCCTTATAAATCTCACTAAGGCTAAATATACCTCTCTCTATATATATGTATATATATATATACACACACATATATATAACACAAAGGAAGAATATTTCAGATTAATAAAAATTAAAGACAAAGTTAAAATGCTTGATACATTGTATACTCTGACTCAGACATGATCACAGTTCTGTGACTAGTGACCTTCTGTCATTATTTCTCACACATCTAAAGCAATATATATACACACAGATCTACATACAAACTTGTAGGATCTGGATTCAAGTGTGCCTAACAAACAATAAACATCTATTTCTTTGATCATGGCACAAAGTTATAGTTTAAAGCTTACAGTGATTACAATATATATATACTATATTTGTTATTACAATGTGAACTGAAATAGAAAATGAGTCTTTCATCAGGAAAGTGCAACAGGGTTTAGTAGCCCTATTTAGTTATTAAATACCTATATGCATTTATACATCATCACTACTAGTCTTTCTCTACACACATGCTAAATTGAATGAAAACGTACATCGGGAACTAAAGACATATACTCTATGTTGAAGAGGTATTATTATTATCACATTAATAAAACTGGTTGTCACAGGAATACTAGGATTATAAATGCCTTATGTATTTGCAAAACATTTAGATGAGAGATGACATTTTTATTCATACACTTTTATACTTTGCTAAAGTAAATTACTTTTCTCTTCCTCTTATGGTAGCAATTTAATTCCCTGTAACACCACTGAAGGAACAGAATCCAAAGTTTGCACATAAACACATATACATGTAGACACTATATGGAGAAATCATTACTTTCCTCAAAACAATTTGCTGACATTATATTGTTTAGCTTTCTTCCTAACAGAGATGAAGAGCCTCACCTCCAAAAAAGGAAAATTTTATGCTACTGCTTCTGATGACAAAAATCTGTCCCACACTGGGGAGGAATCACATTTTAGGTTCTAGTCTTCATCACCCTGCATAGTAACTTTATTTAAAAATATCACTCAAGTTTGTGTGACTTCTGGTTTCGCTTGGAAATAATAAATAATTACAAATAATTTTTTAATGAAATAGCACAGTTTCATAACCCTGTAGCTGTCAAACCCATACAGTAATGATGTTTTTTAAAATGCCAGCCAATATGCTCTCAACTCTGAAAATTTCTCAGTAGCTATTCAGACTTGAAAAATTGACTGAAAAATTCTCCTAAGCTGAGGATGATCAAAGTTTGCAGTAAACTGTTCACAATACAGTCCATGTAGACTACTTACAATGCAAAGCTGAAATCCCACAAAAAAAAGACTAAAAGTTATAAAAAAACCTAATTAGATGGTTACCGTTTTTTAATCATATTCTGATTAAAAAAACTTAAGGCAAGTTTTTATGTGTTACAGAAGTAGTATAGTGATTTAATGTAATGCTCTAGCAGGGTTGGTATCACAATAATATAAGGTTTAAACTGTTGGAAAGACATTCTCAGAAATTTCTCATTAGAATAACAGAATCATAGAATGGTCTGGGTTGGAAGGGACCTTTAAAGACCATATAGTCCAATCCCCCTACAGTGAGCAGCAACGTCTTCAACTAGATCAGGTTGCACAGAGCGCTGCCCAACCTGATCTTGAGCATTTCCAGGGATGGGGCATCTATCACTTCCCTGGGCAACCTATGTCAGCATCTCCCGCCCTCAGGATAAAAAGTTTCTTCCTCATATCTAGTCTAAACCTATCTTCTTTTAGTTTAAAACTATTACCCTTTGTCCTTTAAAATAGGTGTAAAATATCTGTCCCCATCTTTCTAATACGATCTCTTTAAGTACTGCAAGTCTGCAGTAAGGTCCCCCTGGAGGCTTCTCTCCTAATTCATTAAGATAGGTAATCGCTATGATAAAATCCTAAAAACAACAAGAAATTTAGAGCAGAATATCTTTCCCTGCCTGTTGGTTACATTAACAAAGTAATTAGTTTTATTACATGATGTAAAATATTCATTTTTATATCAGAATTTGACCAGTCTCTCTAAAGATAAAAGTCCTTAAGAAGACAAAAGAAAGAAAGTCTCATTATCACAATTAATTAGGTGACAGATAAGAGTCCTAGCTGCCAACTGATACTCAGCATAATGAACTAGATACAGTTTATTTGCAAATGTGAAACTTGAGCCAACCAAACTAAAACCTAAAACAAAAAAACCCTGACTAGAAGACCTGAACCAGAGACTGTAATTTGAAAACTAGCCGATGAATATGAATTTCTGGCTAAATGTCTCATAGGGATTAAGGCTGTAATCATATTTCTTTAAATGTAAGTTGCTAAAGGCATAGCCTTGCTTGCAAGGAAGTGGATGTTCTTTGATTTAGTTCTGGAAATGTTACATGTACATTAAAAAGCTAGTAAGAGACAATTGTTATATACCTGCTCTGCTCCCAGAGAGGGGACAGAAATGGCTAAAAGCAAAGTGAGTAGCCACCTTAAAGACAAAAACCAAGCTTCATCTTTGTTTGGGAGGGCAAGAGATCTCAGATTAAAAGGAAGAGTTCACCAGTTCAGAGCTACTTTGTTAAAATATTAAATAAAGCAGATGTTTACTGTCCAGTATTGACATTTTAACTCTTAAATTCCCTGTGCTTTTACAAGTGTCCTTAGGTAGATTTTTCTTTAAAGTTAACTAGCAATAAATCTGTGTGTGACCAATAGAGTCCTCAAACTGCTTCCCCAAGACATTATTCTCCAAATACTCAAAACTGCACCATGGTGCATCTCCCCTAGAGCTGTGGGTCAGTCAGAGCAATGCTAGTGAAGTACATAAAGTAGCACAGACTGTTCCAGGGAGGAAGGATAAGCAAAGGAATTTGTATTTCACAACATATTGTGAATCAAATGAATTTATGGCAGTACCTCATCTAATTTCTTACGAGGGATGGCTCTTAACCACTTCACAAAGGAATTATGGGTCGTGTTTTTTCCCCAATGCACTTTCAGACCTCCTTTCTAAACAGACAAAAAAGAGTAGAAGTTTTCAGAAGATAGAACTGCAGTATTTAATGTAAAAATTATAGGAAACATCTATTCTTGAAAAAAGAATGGTGAGAACTTTATGGAATTTGTCCTTGTGTTTTTCCCTACAGGCATATGACGATACTGTGAGGCCAACTGAAGCATAGATTATATTTGTACTGACACGTATTTATGCAAATATGCCCCCACACATCAGTTTTGTACACGGCAATGGCCACTGACTCATCAAATTTTGAAATTCATGGACATCTGGGGCTCATACTTACTTAAAATAGAATACATTTAAAGACACATTTTTAAAGGAATATTGAAGAATTACCTATTTATCAATTCTCAAGCTAAGGAAAGGATCTGGTCACATGTGAGGTTTCTTTATTCTCTTATTACTTTTTTCCTTCTATAAGAAGATTGCTGAATGACCTACATGCAAGGCATATATTCTCATGAAATTTTATTTGAAGCTACAAACTATTAAGACACCAAGAAGTGAGATTTCTGTTTTGCTATCATTTCTGCTTTTTGACACTGAATCCATTTAATATTTGGAAGCTCTGTGAAGCCTATCTGGCTGCAAATGCTCTAGGCA